AGCTTTGTGGTGATGACTAGCTGCCTTCCCTCTAGTCTTACACTGCCAAATTAGGGACAGCTAGCGCAGATAGCCCTCGTGTAGCTTTGTGGTGATGACTAGCTGCCTTCCCTCTAGTCTTACACTGCCAAATTAGGGACAGCTAGCGCAGATAGCCCTCGTGTAGCTTTGTGGTGATGACTAGCTGCCTTCCCTCTAGTCTTACACTGCTAAGTTAGGGACAGCTAGCGCAGATAGCCCTCGTGTAGCTTTGTGGTGATGACTAGCTGTCTTCCCTCTAGTCTTACACTGCTAAGTTAGGGACAGCTAGCGCAGATAGCCCTCGTGTAGCTTTGTGGTGATGACTAGCTGCCTTCCCTCTAGTCTTACACTGCTAAATTAGGGACGGCTAGCGCAGATAGCCCTCGTGTAGCTTTGCGCGAAATTCCAAAACAAACAAACAAATGAGTCCGTGAAAAGCGAAATATTTTTTGAACCAATTTTTTTATTGTACATTTGTGAAACCAAAAACGCTAAAATAAATCTTTTCCACGAGCAATCTTCTCTTACGTCATCACAAACGTTTTTAGTATTTAATATATTTCCTTATTTATCTAGCAAGCTGTGGTCTTACATTTGTTGTTATTCCTCCCGATTTCCTGGTGTGCTGTTACAAAAATCACCCCATTCTCCCCTCCAGAGAAAGATATTTTTAATAATTCTTAAGAGCGACATCTAGTGTTAGAAGTGTTCATTTAAGTTTAAAATACATTTTATTCTTATAAAAACATGTAAAAATGTTTTTTTTTGTTCTAAGTTACGCGTCATTGTAAAATCTGAACTGTATTCACACAACTTTTTAAAATGCAAATACAACACTTTAACAAAATAATACGACCGTATTCTTTCGAGACATTTTTCTAATATCCATTACTTCATAACGAAAACTTTGCAATCTACACAAATCCCCAAGTTTCAGATTTTTCTGTTCAATATTAAAATCCGTGCAGTAAACCTCCAAGTCTCAACTCTTTCCATTGAAGATTTAAATCTGTATCTATTATGTATCAAAGTTTATTGTCTCTTTATTAAGGTAGATCCAGTTATGTGCTAAAACGTCTAACAGATTTTACTACAATACACAACACCAATAAAGAATGGGTGTCAAAGTAATGTCTTTTGAGGCTTAGAGATTTTCCAGCAGTTGTGGCTTGTTTAGTTGGTGTACCGTCAGAGAACTGGTTGTAAATCATGTTGTGGCTTGTTTAGTTGGTGTACCGTCAGAGAACTGGTTGTAAATCATGTTGTGGCTTGTTTAGTTGGTGTACCGTCAGAGAACTGGTTGTAAATCATGTTGTGG